CTTCCTTAAGCCTTTGTTTAATGCCAGATCTCAGATGCTTGCAGATTCAGGAGAGATGCCAAACTCTGCTCTCGGATTAGGAGATGATGGGAGGACTTCCATAATCTGTAAGCCTAGTATAAGCTGCCAGTTCACATGAATGATTCGGTTAGACTGTTGGAATAAGGCCAGGGATATTTCAAGTTTCTTTCTGAGCCCTTATGAGTTCGGAGCCCTTGGACTTTATATTATAATTACAATCTAATTACTGCCCTATTATTTGTGCTACTTTGAGGTGAGTCTGCAAAGAGTACAGCATATTCCTTTTGCTGAGCACAGCTATAGCTGGTTTACATACAGCTTTTTCTCATTTGTCTGGTATTGGGGATCGCAGTGGGGAAGTGAGGGCTTTATGCACCGTTTAGAGTGATCCTCAGCTTAGATGCCCTAAAGCATTGCAGAATGCCTGGGACTGGGCGGTGGGGGAGGTACCTGCATAGCTCAGAGTTTAGATTGCTGAAGTCCCACTTAAGCATAAATGTGAATGCTTCTACTCTGAAGTACAAGATTATCTTAAACTATAAACAGTGTTAAAAGTTTGTGATGCTCTTTGCTCTGCCTCTTCTTCTCCTGCCAGTCTGGGATTAGTCTCCGAGTAGGTGTGTCCAGATGGTGAGCTGAGGATTGCCCAGAATAAGAGAAATCTTTTTAAAGATTTGGCCGAGGTGAACTCCTGGGATTCCCAGCCTGTGCCTCTGGCTTGCAGAGCCAGCCCCATCCTCCGCCGCCCTGGTGGCCTCTGTCTCTGCCAGGAGACGGCCTCCACTTGTGGTCAGAGCTCGGTGCCATTCCTAGCCAGCCCAGACTGCAAGCCGTTTCACATGGCTCCTGGTGGTGGCGATACAAAGGGCAGTCGGAGCCAGCCATAACATTGAGTAATGCCAGGAGGTGCCTTCTAGAACAAACAATGTGGGTGAGCACCACAGAGAGGGAATACCTCTGGCTTGACATTTAAATTACTGAATTATTTAAATGAATGTCAATTAGGCAGCGTAGTCTGGCTGCTCTGCCAGGGTACTTCCTGGTTATTTGCTCAGGCAAATGTGAAGTACTTCACTTAGATACAGTGCTCCCTGCACGTACCGTAGAGCATCGAGCACAGGACACGGTTGTCCATCCCTGGGTGTTCCTCATAATAATTATGTTGTGATTTAAGAGATTAGAAATCCACGTGCTCTGTCCCCCACACCCACCCCAGATATCACAGGTCCACATATGTTATGATGATTCCTAAATTTGACAAGACTACAAAAGTGAGTCATGGGCACTTTGAGGCCTGTGGTATTCCTAAGAATTCATGTTAATATTTGAGAATGGAACTGCCTGGCTTAAACCTTCTTGTTGAGTTAGTAATTCTAGCTCAGATAACCCTTTTGGCATCTCTTTGAATTAACCCAAACTGTTGGGTGACTTTGCTATGACACATGCACGTGTGCATATGACTGGTCATTCTTCTATTTTTATGAATTTAGAGCTTCCATTTATATATGCTTCTGTTTAAAAATTTGTGACAAGCTTTGCTAGCTAGATAAGTAGAAATATTCAGTTTGAAAGAATGAAATGTTGGTTGAAGAACAAACTAGGGAATAAGCTGGTGAAGGTTCTTTACTTTTCTGTTACTAACTGCCAGCCTTGGCTCATGGCTCCTCTGTGTCAGCTTGAGTGAATTATCACTTGCCATTAGCAGACATGTTTTTATGCCCTTTGTCTTTGTCTTGAATGTAGAAGGAAGGATATAGAAGGCCCAGTTTTTGACATTTGTGTTGAAAAGAATTATCAGCTGAAAGGTAGGCAACTGTGGTATTCTGTATGTAACTACAGGAAGTAAACAGAAAATTCAAAGACAGTGTTTAATGAATGGGTGAATCCTTTTGGATAGTTTATGGCCCTGAGGGATGACGCTCGGATTAAGGCCAGTGCTGTTTGATCTTCGTGTGTACCATGTCTCCGTGTGTACTTCATCCTGCATATCATGAATTGAATTTTACTAAAATCAGTATCTACGTGAGGCCATTCATTTTGACAAGATTCTTGAGGTCACAGCACAGGTACCAGTGAGATCACATGCAAGTCATGCCACATGAGAGACTCTGGGAAAGTGGTGTCCCTTCCTGTGCCTGTGGACGAAGGTTAATTTGGTCTGGAACTTTAAGAATGGTTCATCGTGAGAGCACAGTAGAGAAATTTAAAAAATTAGAACCACAAAGTATCTAATTCTTTGGTATCTTAGACCATCCATTTTAAAAAAAAAATTATGTATCTCTTCTTCATGGTGCTGGGGAGTGAACCCAGATAGGCCCTCGAGCATGCTGAACACATACTCTAATGTAGAGCTTTACACCCATCCCGGGGCCACCCATTCCAAGAGCATTGATGGTGCACGAGCCCTCCAGAGTCTGGAGTTGCCTGTTGGTTATGGGTGGTGGATCTTTCGTGCAGCAGGATGAGGAAGTCGTCTTCTCCTCTCCTTTATCCATCCACAAATTGCTGTGCACTTATTTTATATTTTCATACCAACACTAATCTTTCATCCTTAACCCAGTGTCAGAAGGTGTTTAACTTCAATTTGTTAGAGATTTATACTTAGATATGTGTGATCTTTTAAAAATATTTAGAGTTTTAAAATATGTATTAGTGTTTGAAATTTGTATCAATTCTCTTATTTGATGCTCTTAAAAAAAGTCATTTCAGGGCCGGCCAGATAGCTCAGCAGACTAAAGCACCTACTTGGGCAGAAGCAGGGGACAGGGTTCGATCCCCTGCGGGCTGTGCTGGCCCTGCCCCATGAGTGTTGAGATGCAGTTGAGACTGGGTGTGGTGGTGTGTGCCTGTAATCCCAGCACTTGGGAGGCTGAAAACAGGTGGATCACTACGAGTCTGATCTGTGTAGGGAGACCCTGTAGACACCGTACTTAAAAAAAAAAGTCATGTCCATCCCTGCTGTAGATCACAAACAAATCAATGTGATGCCTTTAACTCGCCCTCCTGACTTTCCAGGTTTACTAGCAGGGAAAGAAACCTTTCTGTTTCCTTCAAAAGAACCATCACCTCTTGGGCAGCACAGTTGGCAGCCCTCAGCTCAGCTTTGTACCATTCAAGAGTGGCAAACATGTCTAGACTCCCTAGAAATATTATCTTTCAGTTTCCTTTCTACAAGTATAAACTTTTTGCTGGATTATGTCAGCAGATATCTATGATTCTTATCCTCATAGAAATAGGTTAGTGCTGGAATTTCGCTTGCATTTCTCTGGGCAGGCACAATAAAGACTATTTCTTTGTTCATTAAAATTTTTGCTCATTAAAAGTGTCTGAGGGCTCTTGATTCTCAGGGGTGAGACTGGTGACATACATAGCACTGTCAGCGGCTATTTTGGATTTTCTGCTTTCAGGCATGTCTTTGCTTTTGGGTGAGCCCCTTGCGGTTTTCAAAAGAACTAGCAAGTCAATTATAAATAGAAGGCTGGGTCTATGTGTCTGCGTGTGCTCACTCTGTGGGACGAGGTGCCCACATGACAGTGGGCAGTGAACTATTTTTCCACTTCTTTGAAGAGGGAAGAAGAAAGATTAAGAAACACTTTTCTCTTTTTTAGATAACCCACATCTCTGCGCACACCCACACAAATCTGTGTAAATGAACTTGACATTTTCAAAGACCTCACCTTAAGGTCTTGTCTTGAAAGTGTAGCTGCCCAACCAGTTATTTTAAGAAAGAAGCAGTTATCTCACAGACCCACTGTTGAGGGTTCAAGGATTAGAGGGCAGCCTCTGAGCCAGGGGCCTTGAGGCTGCTCTCAGAGCTGGATTTCCTTATATGAACAGTGCTCCGGGGACAGTGGCCTTGGCCAGCTATTCACGGGTCTCTAGGACATGGCTGTTTATGTTTCATCTTCACTTCCTTTCCCCGCTGGTGGAAACTGTTGGAACCTGCAAGTCTGAACTTATCAGTCCAATAAGGGAGGGGAAAAGAGTGATGTAAAAAATAAAACTGCAAATAAGCGTTTTTAGAGACGATTAGGAAATGTGATTAGGCGTGCTTCCCCTGTGATACATCCCTGCCTGTCTTCCTGTTGCTTTTTTTTTTTTTTATTTTGGTGGTACTGGGGATTGAATCAGGACCTTGCACTTGTCAGGCAGGTGCTTATGCCACTGAGCCATCTCCCTAGCCCTTCCGTTGCTTCTTGAACTCACCAATGTGAGCTGTTCCCGTGGTGCTTCCTGTTACCTTCTTGTCCAGATGCTGTCCAGTTGCCTTTGATTCTTTGTGCCTTCATTCTGGTTATTTGCTGTCAAGTTCTTTTTCTGGCAGTTGAGAATTCTTGAACAGCTATTAATTCCCATATTAACGTGAAAGCTTCTGTGTTACTGTTACTGAACAGTGAGCCAAGGCATCTAGCTGGAAATGTTGATAACAGGGATTCGTAGCTATAGATTGCATCTTTGGACTTTCTTATTAATACAGTAGTTATTTTTGAAGCAGTCATTCTGTAGCAGGAAAATCAGAATTGCTTGGTTTATTTGTCATAATAGGACTAGCAGGAGCTGGTACTAACAGGTTCCATATATTTAGGAGTATTTTTATGTATTTTATATATAAAATATCAACAATGAAAATTATGTCCCAGTAAAACATTTTATTTGGTATAAGAATTGAGGTATGAGTTCGATTCTCAATAAAAAAAAAATTGGTATGTAAGAGTAGGAGGACCTCAGCCAGAAGTCTGGTGCCAGGTGGTAACTGATCTCTGGCGTGGTGGGATCTGAAGGAGGGCACATAGCTCATGTAAGTGCATGCCTAGACCGAGAGGCGGTTGGTACCTGGTCACATGACCGCGCCACGAAAGGGCCAATGCTGATGATTCGTCTCTGAGCGTGTGTTGGGGATGGCTCTAGAGACGCTTCTCATTCATTCAATTGGGATTAAACTCATGCAAGTGATTTTTTCTGTCCTTTCTCTTCTGCAGATGAGAAGCCGAAGGCCAACCCCAAACTGTACATGTGTGTGTGCGAAGGCCTCTCCTGCGGGAGTGAGGACCACTGCGAAGGGCAGCAGTGCTTCTCCTCACTGAGCATCAACGACGGCTTCCACGTCTACCAGAAAGGCTGCTTCCAGGTTTACGAGCAGGGAAAGATGACCTGCAAGACCCCACCCTCACCTGGCCAGGCTGTGGAGTGCTGCCAGGGGGACTGGTGCAACAGGAACATCACAGCCCAGCTGCCCACGAAAGGTTCCTTTGGCCTTTTCAGTTCTAGATTAAGGGGTTTGTTAGTGTTGTCCTGTGTCTGTGTGAGGAAAATTCCTGTGTGGCCCACAGCCCTCCTCCTGTTGTCTGCACCACAGAGATAGACCACACAGAAGGTCACTTTAGGTTAAGGAGGGGAGGGCAGTCTAAAAAAAGGACAAACATTTCTGAACAAGTGAGTGCGGTAACATCCACCGTGGAGACCACTTGTCTGAGCAGTCAGTGCTCCGTAGGTTGCCATGAGCAGGGCCACAGCTCCCTATGCCACCTTCTGTTACTGGGCCAGGTATATCTCCTGTCATTTCTGAAGTAATTTTGCTTAGCAAACAGCATTCATTGCTAGGACTTAGAAAATGCAGTATGAAACTGGTGCTTGTGAGAAGGAAGAAAAGGAAGGAAGGAAGGAAGGAAGGAAGGAAATAAAGAAAGAAAGAAACTCACAAACCTCTTCTCCCAGCTCTGATTCCCACCCATCTGTTACTGAAGCCAGATGGGATTTTGCATGAGCCATGGAGTTTATGTGGAACCTTCTCCCTGATACGTTCACCATGGATTCCATATCTGCTAGAAACCAGTGCTCCTCTGAAATTGCTTCCCCATAAATGACCCTAAATTGCTGTCTCAGATCTCTGCAAATATTAACAGACTCCTCTAAGCCAAATTCATTTACTTTATAATAGTACGTTTGTAATAGGTATAATTTTTAATATTATACTTATGAAAGAAGAAAAAACAAAAATTAGAATAAGACAAGCTACAAGAAGCGCCGGCCAGATAGCTCAGTGACTAAAACGCCTGCTTAGGTAGAGCATGGCGGCCAGGGTTCAATCCCCAGCCTGCTGTGCCGGCCCTGCCCCTGGGGTGAGCTGAGGCAGCGATTGAGACTGGGCTGAGACTGGGTGTGGTGGTGCGTGCCTGTAATCCCAGCACTTGGGAGGGTGAAAACAGGAGGATCACTAGGAGTCTGATCTAGTAGTGAGACCCTGAACACCCTGTAGACCCTTCTCTAAAACACAAAAAATAAATAAAAAATAAAATAAAAAATATATTTTATCACATAAATGCTATGTATCGTGGAATATCATGTTTCCCAAGAATTATTTGGAATTAGAAGGGTAAATGTATGTGTATGTGTATATATATATGAAATTTAAAATGTGGCTTGGGAGTTGATTGCTAAAGGGACCAGGAGCACAGAATTAGGTGAAGCACATGTATCGCAAAATAGGACTTGGTAGGGCCATGGAGATAGCTCATTGGTCTAAACACCTGCCTAGGCAAGTGCAAGGACCCAGGCTTGATCTCCGGTACCAGATGCCACGCCAGCCCCATGTGAGACCCTGTACCAAATACATTAAATTAAAAAAAAAAAATTGGACTTGACAGCACAATAGCAGGAAAAGGCCAAAATTTGTAGGTGGTTATTTTTTTAGGAGACACTTTTAATTATGGACCTATGCTGTCCAATTAAAATATTTTGATTTACCTCACTGAGTGGAAAGCCCTTGGAAATATTTGCTCAAGTGACAAGTGAGGCATTTGAGTGCATGAACTTGTATTGGGGTGGGTAAGGTAGTCATGCCTGGGTGGGGAAGTGCATCTGTGAATGGATGTTTGAATAAGTTCACAGACAAATAGGTCTAGGCAGAAATTGTCATGTAAGATCAGTGAGGATTCCGTCATAGACATCCATGATACACTGGAGAGAGGTACAGGTGGAGTAATGCAGTTTTAATTCTGCTAGCAGTTTCTCATGGGAATATTACGGGGTGGTGCCTGTCTATGAGGGCTTGATTATAAAACATCATTATATATCAACTCCAAGTTAATAAAAGTAGTATCAAAATTTGTATGGTACTTTATATTGTAAAAGCACTTTCACATATATGCATTAATATAGTTGATTCTCAGTGGAATTTTTTCAAGCTCCTGTTACTTCCAGAGGAAGTATTTTAGTTTTAGCACTTTGTAACTGGTGACATCCTGAGGTAAGCTACCTCATAGGATGTTGGTTATACTTAGTAATAAGTAAACAGTGATCCGACAGCCACTTATTTTCCCTTTTCTCTCCCATCTGCAGGGAAATCCTTCACTGGAACTCAGAACTTCCACTTGGAGGTCGGCCTCATCATTCTCTCTGTAGTGTTTGCGGTATGCCTTCTAGCTTGCCTATTGGGAGTTGCCCTCCGAAAATTTAAAAGGCGTAACCAAGAGCGCCTCAATCCCAGGGATGTGGAGTATGGCACCATTGAAGGACTTATCACCACCAATGTTGGAGACAGCACGTTAGCAGTGAGTACGACTGTCTAAGCACACCAGAAATGGGTGCAGAGACCTGCTTATTTGGGAATGAAAAACTATAAGGGTGTGGACAATCCAGCCACGTGCCATTGGGCACTGACCTCCTAAGCAAGCGGGCGATGGCACTTGTGTAATCTACTTTTTGTGAGAAGATCATTTTAGACAACACTGAAGGGGGAGGGGATTTGTTTAAGTAGATTCTTGGTGGTTACTTTTCTTTTGGGATTGAGGGAGAAGGGACAAAGAATGATTGCTTGCAATTTTGAAAGGCTTAGACTTGGTGGTATTCAGTTGCTCTATTTTTAGTAATAAAAGTGCTTTTCTTTTGTTTAATATTAAAAATCAATTTCCCTTCTAGATTATTTCAACACCCTATAATTTAAGACTTAAAATTTGACATCCAAAAAAGTAGCTATTAGATTTCCCATGCTCTAGTGCTGCCCCCTTGTGGAGTGCAGTTGCATGGTTAAGCCAGTGCCGTCCAATAGGATGCAGTTTGTATACCACGTATGTAGTATTCAGTTTTGTAGTGGCCACCTTAAAGGAAGTGAGGAACACAGAAAAAAGTGAAAACGGTAACTTGAATTTTAACTATTCAGCCCAACATACACTTTTAAAAAATCATTTCAACATGTATTTAATGAAAATATTAATGGAGCAATTTACATTTTTGAGCTAAATTTTCAAAAATGTGTGTGTATTTTATATTTGCAGTATGTCAAACTAGCCAAAGTTTACTTATTTGCATATAAACCATTATTTTTATGCATTTAAAGATCACTCTTTTGCATAGTTTCTATGATATAGTCATGCCATATTCCCAACCCTTTAAGATTTTGTATTTAAATTGTGTGTGTGTGTGTGTGTGTGTGTGTGTGTGTGTGTGTGTGTAGTATCAGGGACTGAACTTGGGACCTTGTGGATGGCAGGCAGGTGCTTATACTGTGTACTTTAAAAATTGTGAACCAGGATCTCATTGCCCAGGCAATCTTCCTGACTCAGCCTCTTGAGTAGCTGGGATAACAGATATATGGAACCATAGCTGGGTCAAAAATCAACATCTTGCAAAACAAATATTTAATAGATACCAGAGGACCTGGGCATGGTGGTACAGACTGCGATCCGAGAACTTTGGGAGGATGAGACCTGACGTTATTAAGTTCAAGGCTAGAGTACGATCCTGTCTTTAAAAAGTCTAGGAATGTAGTTCAGTGATAAAGCTCAGGCAATTATTTGCAAGTCTCTAGGTCTAATCCCTGGTATTGTTTTATTTTATCAGAAGGTGTTAATTTTAAGGGAAGGTTAAACAATAAATAGGAAGAGAAGATCACTTATTTTTATAAATAGGTCACCATAAATTGCTTTTAAAAAATGGTACATTAACGTTAGGCCAAATCTGAAAAAGGTAAAGATTTGAGGATTGTTGGAGTGGTGGGAAATATGTACAGGACAGAATCAGCTCTTTGTCATAGTCCATTGAGTTGCAAAACAATCAAAGTAAAATCTTTCTAGGATGATTCAGTGTTGTTTAATACCATGCTTGTGTACCATCCAGAATGTCTCGGGTTAAGTCTTGCTGTGCGCTCAGCATGCGGAAGGTGCCTGAGGGCTCTGCACTTAGATGTTGCTAGCAGCTTCTCTCTGCTGGGGGAGATGTGCCCCGGCCAGTGGCTATCTTGGTGCCCAGGTGTTGTACCTGGACACCGGCAGGGTCCACCCTTCATGAGCTGGCAGGACAATTGTTGGTGGCCAGTGTGACTGGGTGATGTCAGACTCTACTGCCTGACCCATCACAGGGCCACCAGTCACCTGTACTTTTTTATGAAGAAGGAGGAATTAATCTTATTTTATTCTTTAATTTTTTGGTATGGTGTTGTGCTATGCAGTTCAGACTCTTAGTGACCCTCTCCTGTCTCAGCCTCCCTGGTGCTGGGATTACAGATGTGCACCACCATTCCTGGTTTCAGGGCTGGCACAGTGTGCCCAGGGTTCCAGGGCCTGCACGGCATGTGGAACTGGAGATCGAACCTGGGTCCTTGTGCTTTCCAGACAGGTGCTTAGACCACTGAGCTATGTCCTTGGCCTGGAATTAATCTTTATCAGCCTCTAACTGGAGTATTTATTTATTTGCTATAGGGTCTTGATATGCAGCTCAGACTCAAGAGTACCAGTGATAGAACCTGGGTCCTTGTGCTTGCCAGGCAGGCACGTAGACTACTAAACTATCACCTAGCCCAGAGGAATTAATCTTACTTAGCCTCCTTTTATTTACATGTGTTACTGTGGAACTGAGAGAAAATAGAAGGAATTCTATTTTGAAAAGTAGAGAAACAGAATTTTTCATTAGAAATGTACTCAGGAGTCTGTTCTAAGCTTTAAGGAAAACAAAATGAATTTATTGAGTTAATAACAAGATGTGAAGAAGAGTCCTGGCAAAGCTGCAGCAAGGCAGAATTCTGAAATAGATTAGTTGGAACTTTGTTCTTCAGAGTTGCTAATGTAGCAAATTACCCCAGGTAACACTTGGAATATCCAGGATAGATTACCATTTAAACAGCTCTAAGGATTTTGAAAGATGAAAGAAAGTGTATGCCAAAACAGTCTTCTGACCTCACCCAGCTTGGATGACAGGATATCATGATAGAATAACAGTAAACACAATTTTTAAAAGAAAATGTCATTGTTGGTTTCTACACTTGGTTATCTAGGCAATGTGTTCGTTTATGTGGTGCAACAAAGCACACACAGTACGAAGTCTCATTTACTGTATGAAAGAACTTGGGAGTCACGACTTGAGGTGCATGTTTATTAGTCTTTTGTTGGCCCCTCCCCCCAGTCTGTGACGTGGGTTTAGAATTGTAGTTGCGCATTATGAAAAAGAAGTACATTTGCAAAATTATTCTTCTAAAAATGGAATGGAGAGAAATAGCAAGAGAGAATATGTAGATAAATAATAAATTCTACATCATTTTCTTTTGTCTTCCTTAGTCTCTCTCTCTCTTTCTTTCCTTCCTCCTTCCCTCCCTCCCTTCTTTCCTGGCTGGGACTTGCTATATAATTCAGGCTGGCCTTGAACTTGTGGTGATCTTCCTGTCTCAGCCTCCTGCATATTTTCTTTTCTTTCTTTTTGTTTTGGTTGTTCTGGGGATTTAGCCTAGACTTAGGGATACTCCATCACTGGCCCCAATGCTTTTTTGTTTTAGTTTGGGATAATGTCTCCTTGTTGCCCAGGTTAGCCTCAAATTTGCCAGCTTGCTGATTTAGCCTCCAGAGTAGCTCTGGCTATGGGAGTATGCTACTGTGTCTGACTCCTTTAATAGTTTTTGGGGCCATGGAGATGGCTCAGGGCCGTGGAGATGACTCAGTAGAATAAGCACTTGCCCGGCAAGCACAAGGGCCTGAGTTCAATGCCTAGTTCTGTTTAAAAAAAAAAAAAGAATATGTTAGGGAGCTGGGGAGATGGCTCAGTAGAATAAACGCTTTCCTGGCAAGCACAAGGGTCTGAGTTCAAATCCCTGGTTCTGGAAAAAAAAAAAGTTTTTAAGGTTCTGAATTTCTACCACTGGATATTCAGCTTTTGGTAATTTTGCCAGTCAACGGTATTTAGCATTGGTGCTCAGAAGAAATACAAGAAGATGAAATTCATGGGAATCAGTGTATGGCCTTAGTAGGCCAACGGAGATGGTGGGGAAGGGAGAGCTTTGGGACGCATTACTGTTACTGCAGCCGTACCCATCATCGCTGCATGCATAGTCACTGCAGCCGCACCCCACTGCCACAGGCATGGCGCTTCTGCTGTTGATAATCCTCGTCTGACACCAAAAGACTTCTGTTTCTTGGCATGCGCTGAAAGTAAGAAGAAAAAATTTTTTGAATGAACTAAGAATGTTTTGCCAAAATGTTCATTCACAGGACTCTGGTTTTATGCTTCAAACAAAAAGCTTAATCCTTTACTTTTCTCATTTGTGAGTGTTTCTCACTGATATGTTACAAGAAGGTAGTAATTTGGTGAGCCCTTGGTTCCTGACCGGTGACCTGCATCCTGGGAGCCTATCCCATCCAGAGTACACCGGTGTCGTGACCCACATGGGTCTGTGCAGTCTTTCTACTATAGACATCAAAGCTCTGCTTTGTATTTCTGATTTATTTGTTCTTAATTAGGCCTCCTTAGCTGGCATGACAGCCAAAGTGGATTGTTCGATAGTTCCTTAGTGAACAGAACAGAACAGAACATGGAGGATTTTACCCTGGGCTTGAGGTTGAAGGTGTGGGCCGGTCCGTCCTTTCTTCCAGTCTCCTGCTGCTACTTCCTTGGGGCTCCTGGAGCTCTCAGTTGAGTTCTTGTCTTTGCTCAGCTTCTTTACACATTGTATTCTAAAACTCCAGGCATAGGGAAGGACTTCCGATCCCTCAGGAGAACATTCATGTATTGGGGAAGAGCTGCTCGCTAGCTTTCTTAGGACATAAAGCCCATCTTTCTTCTGGTGGAGCTGTCCAGACACACAAGCAGCCCGAGCATCCAGGCCCGCCGCCCTCCACTTCCCATGTGCGCCTCAGCAACACGCTTGTTAACGGGACTCCAAACTGCCAGTAACTGCTCAGTAATTTTCTTTTTATGCTTGTCTTAAACACAGGACTTACTGGATCACTCGTGTACGTCAGGAAGTGGCTCTGGTCTTCCTTTTCTGGTACAAAGAACAGTGGCTCGCCAGATTACGCTGCTGGAGTGTGTCGGTAACTCTTTTTTCCTTTCCTTTCTGGGTACCATGTACTGCTAATTGTGATTGTGTAGTGGACTGGGACTTGTAAGACCTGCTTTTCTTTTCCTCTCGTTTCTTTAGTAAGCTCGGGAGACGCTGCTGTAAGCACGGTGTGTATATAGCTCATTAATGCAGGAGAGACAAAGTAGCTCTGGTCTCAGTTCTCTGTGGTCTCAAAATCCCTGAATTTGCTGAATCTCTTGTCCAGTGAATTGTCTTTAGTTACTATAGGGAATGCCGAAGGAAAGTTTGCAGTTGCAGGTAGAGCCTTTGGTGTGATGGGCGTGCCGGACAAGTGAGTTGATGAGGCTCTCCTGACCGTGGGTATTGAATGGCCTGAGGTCAGTACACTGCAGGACAGAAAATGTGTTCAGTTGTGCAGGCCTTTTCATTCTTCCTGCTCTTTGCAATAAATAATGGTAAATACATGTTATTGTCAGTTAAAAGCAAGAGCTTATATACATTTTCATGGTCTCTCGTTTTTCCCATATGGGACTATTTTTAGGTTACTGTAAACATAGAGTGTGTATAGTTCATGCTTCCTTTTCAGCTCTAAGCTTCCCTTTCCCTGTTTTGATTTGGCTTGCTTAGGGTTTTGGGCAGTTTTTTTCCCCCTTTAGTTTTTTGAAACAGGGTTTGGCTATGTGGTTCAGCTTGGTGTTGAATTCACTGTGGAGCCAGGCTGACCTTATAGTGGCATTCCTCCTACCTCAGTCTCCCACATGCTGGGATTACAGGTGTTCACCACTACGCCTGGCGTAAAGCTTTCATTTTTATTAGTTTGGTGTAGTGGGTCAGTATTTGCAAGTAGCACAGTGGTTTTCCTTAGTTTCTCCTGCTGGCTGGCTGCTGCCATGTCTATAGAGGTCTGTCAAGCTGTCCTTCTCCCCCTGAGTGCTGCTTTGAGCTGGCTTCGTAGTTCTGGCCTCCCAGCTTTTTCTTCGGGGAGATGGCTGGTCCACATAAACTTGTTCTATGACCTGCAGTTCTTCTCCGGATTGTCTTTGAGTTTTCATAGAAAGTGGGATATTTCCAGGCCAGTGGAAGGAAAAGGGATGGGCAGCGTATGGAGGAAGGTGCCTGCCACCCCAAGACATGGCCTGTTCACTTTGTTGCCTTTTCTCCACGTCAGCTGCTGCGCTGTGCCAACTGTCCTAGGCATCTCTTCCACAGCAGACTAAGAACAGAGAGAGTAAGGATGAAGAGCCCCAGATGTGCTCATTACGAGTAGCTGCAGCTGTCTTCTCATTCTGATTAGCATTCTGTTTGATTATGGACAGGAAGGTCTGTGTACTGGCAGGAGGGCAGGGAAGGGGTTATGTGCTGACTTCCAGCCCTCTCAGACCTGCAGCAACAGATCCTAAACTCAGCCCTCAGAGATCAAAGCCAGGATCCAAAGTGAAAAGTAATATTGTACTTTTCTAGCTATTCTTAGCATTTTCTGAAATAGTGTAAATCAATTTTTACATTTTGCTGGGTTTGTGCTCAAGACCTTAATGGAAACGGTGCCGTTTTGCAAGTGTGCAGTTAGTGTTGATATGGTCCAGTTTTGAACAAAAACATATGCGATGAATTGTGTGGATGGTGCGTTACCACTTTGGATTCACACATGTGGGAAGCTGGAGCAGGGCTGTCATTTCCAGATGCTGCTAAGGAAGCCCCAGCTTCCAAATGCTGTGGGGATCTCCTTTGTGGGGCTCCATGGCCAGGGCTTCTGCAGCTCTGCTTTTGTTTTGTGGGCTTCTGTCTGTGGTGAGTTTACAAAAGAACACTTGACAACTTTAAATCACTTGGAAGCTAGTGAAAAGTTTTTTTTACCTTAATTTTATTTATCCTGCTATGTATCTCTTGCTTTCTTAAATGAAAAGAACAAAGGATTTACGGCAACAGTTCATGAAGATATTTTCTCACTTTCCAAATGAAAAATGAAAGCAAAGAGAACATAAAGATATACAATGGAAATAAGGGAAGAAGAGCTTAGCGTACACATTGGTAGTATCTTAGCAGTAGCCCTTATTTTGAGTTGCAAGTTCTGAGCCATTGCTATGAGGCAGTAAAATGAACCCTGTATTGAACAGTGTCTGTGTGTGGCCTAACAGCGGCTCAGAAGGAGCACGGGTCTGTCCCATGTAACACCGCTTCGGGTAGTCACTGGTATTTACTAAGCACATAGACTCTCATCAGGATCTGGACTTGGGTGTTGCCTGGACAGACATCTGTCCTGTTTCTCTGCACTAGCGTTCTCAGTAGCTCAGTTTTCCAGCAAAGAACTACGGTCTGTCCTGCGTGTGCAGGTGGTGCTGTGGCTGCTTCTTACAGCCCTGTGAGCCCAGCGGCCACTTGCCTGGGCAGGAAGCCCTGCTGCCCTGCACTTGTGGCTCCTGCTGCCTTACTCTCCAGGCTGATGGTACTTGTGTCGATCCCCCCAGTCTCGGAGGGATTTCCTCTTCCTCCTTCCCTCTTGGATCAGTCCTGTCTGTAATTAAAGAGAAGAGTGGAAGAGGGAGCATGTAGTGGGCACGCTGACACGTGCGTGGCTGCTGCAGAGAGGCCCAACACCGGCCAGGCCAGCTCACAACTGACATCGCCATGTTTTTTAGATTGTGTCTTCCAAGTGGTCTTTTTGGGATGGCCCATTTTGTGCCATTGCAGGGGCTGGCTGATAACACAGATACTCATGACCAGTGCCAGAAATCAGAGCTGTCCTGGGATTGTGTGTGTAGGACTTTGAAAATCCTCTTTAGAAAGCACCTCGTGCTGTGCCGTCCCGCCCTCGGGGTGCGCTGAGACCACAACTAATACTCAGTGTGGTGTCGTGTACCTGTAATCCCAGCACTTGGGAGGCTGAAAACAGGAGAATCATTATGAGTACCATCTATGTAGTGAGACCCCGTAGATCCTGTACTCAATACATTAAAAAAATAAAAATAAAAAGACGTCTTCTGCCAAGAAGTCCTTTAGGGCTAGAGGTAATGTGCTTGATGATCTCCTATAGCACAACATTGTGTGTTTGGTTGTTTTTATTTTTAAGCCCCAGAACACACATCTCAGACATCTTTTTTTTCTGAAGCCGTGTAAGTTCAGATCTGCAGGCCTAGAAAATGCCTGTTGCTGCTGGAGAGGGGAAGGCAGCAGGGAGCCTTTCACTTCAGCAAGATGCGCTTTTTTTCAGCACAGCACTAACATTCAATCATGTGTGCCGTGTCCTCAGTTTTACTAGTTTTATGTGTTTTAAAAGCCATAGGAATTTGATACTTTTCCATAGAGGAATTGAGATGTAAACTCAGGGATGGGCAGTTAATTGTACAATGCAAAGACAGAAGACAGTGTTTTATCAGTATGTGGTGGGTGGCTGTAGGGGCTTCTACATGATTTTTCTTTTCAATGTCTTTCCAGGCAAAAGGCTGTGGTATTTATATCCCGTAAGTGAGTTTCTCTGGCAGACAATGGGCGGGTGGGGTTGTGAGCTACAGGCACAAGGCTCATTGGGTTACTCTCGGGAGCGCTCAGCCCAACTCCCTCTCGTCCATCTGCCTGCTGGAGTCACTTCTGCTTTGTTTTCCACAGGGAAAGGCAGGTATGGTGAGGTGTGGAGGGGCAGTTGGCAAGGGGAAAATGTTGCTGTGAAGATCTTTTCTTCCCGGGATGAAAAGTCGTGGTTCAGGGAGACAGAGCTGTACAACACTGTGATGCTGAGGCATGAGAACATCTTAGGTGAGTATGGGGTGAGCCCCTCGCTAGTTTATCTCGGTGAAGAGAGCTGCCTTCCCTTGCCCTCTCTGGCTTGCTGCATGTGAATTTGAAAGTCTCTCCTGAAAGCCATGCAGGGATCCTCAGAATTCATATGCAGCCTAGTTTTCTTTTAACGTCAACTTCTTATTTAAATCTGCAAACAAGTTAAGTTGTAATATTCTCTGGATGAGGAAAAGGAAATCCGTTATTGCTCATTCTTATTCCTACATCTGCAGATCATTACTTAAACAACAAAAATTTGCCCCGTATTGTTCACTTCAAGGCTTCGTGGTTGTTCTACTTACCCCACCCTTTTTGAATATTTATTACTTGAATCAAACCAAGAAAGATCTTTGGACTCTTTCCTAGAGATTCACAGCTCCTAGGGACATCATAATTAAATGCACATTCCCTCAAACTAGGCATCAATTTTAAAAGACCAGATTTACAGAGGGATTCAGCATACATTTTAATTTGGAAACTAAAGCTTAGCAACATTTATGAAATTTTTAAAGTGCCCACCAAAATCTTGCTGTGGCAGTATAAAGGGTGAACACATTCCTTGGGCCTATGGACTTCTGCAGAGTTGACAAATTTCTGTAAACATGCTTATACCAGTGCGTGTATGGCTGATGCTACTGGAGTCCTTCTTTAACAGTTGATACACAGTTTGTGCTGTGTAGGGTCAGGTGGGCCACTTTATGATTCCTGGACTAGGTCTGGCATATAGGAGACCCTGGCCAAAGTTTATTTTGCTATTATCAATTCAGTATTTTAGTCTGAGTTAAGTCATCACTAAATGATGGTTTGATGCTCTCAAAGCTTCAATGATGTGATATTAATGTTTCCTAATTGTTTGAATTTTGGCTGATGTCTTCTCTTCTTCCCTTCTCCTGCCTTAGACATCACCTGTCCCTCTCCTTGTGTTAACACTGTCCACTTTCCACTTCTGGTCCCCGCTCCACACAGAAATGTCTTGCTTTGGAAAGCAAGGTAATTCTGCTCCCAGATTGAGTGTGACATAGATGACTTCTATACCTCTCACTCAAGACTCCCCCTTTGGTGCTCCAGGAAGTCTCTTAAGCTCCACCCACAAATATGTCCACATTCAGCTACCAGCAATACTTTCCTAACCTTGGAAATGCCACAGACACTTAGGTTTTCTTGCTGTTCTTCATTGTCCTTTACTTCTCCATCCTCCAAATCCAAAACTGTCTCATGTTTTTAAAAGCCACTGCCTGGCTGCTTATTCATTGAATTTTATGAGTCCAGTGAAGAAAACTATCCGTGGAAAAAATGCCAAGTTGCCAAGTTTTTATGTTGGTTATTGGATTCTTGGCTATTTTAAAATACACTAATGGTCAGGTATTCTTGAACACTTTTCCTGTGTTTTAGGTATCATAGTAACTATTTTACATGCTATAAAACTTTTTAATTCTCAGTTATCCTTTGAGATATGTCAGTACTAGGCTTATCTCATAAAGGAGGAAGGCAAGATAGAGATCTTTTGTGACTTGGGCAAGCTCACCCAGGTTGGGAGTGGTGGGGCCAGTATGCAGAGTAGGAGGTGGTCTGAGCCCCAGTCTGCTCATCAGCTGTGCCGTGTGGCAGCTTCGTGCCTCAATTGTCCTAGTACCTGGTTCCTGGACCGACTGTCCTCAGAGTTTTAGCCTCTAGGCATCTATTCAACCTTTACTGACAACAGAGGTCAAAGCAGAGTTTTCTCATACAAGGGCTCAGCAAATAGTTCACACTTGAGACGTAAACAGTTGAAGAAAAATCTTGCTTTGCTAAAGTTATTTTTCCTGATGGTTCAGAATATAATTAACACTACAAATATCTTTTAAGAGCTAGAGGGCAAAGAGGAAGGTGAGGCAATAAGAATGCTTTTTATTTAATCAGAGGGCCCTCTCCCTTGGGAAGAAAGCAACAGAGGCCACATGGATATGACATACAAGAACAATTTAACTCTTTTGAGTGGGGCTTTATTCCTTTGTTGTGTTCAACGTTTCCTCAGATGTGAAGTTTGCGCTTCCCTTGCAGACCGTTTCAGTTGTCACTTCTTGGTGGGGGGCTATGATGGTAACTGGACCAGATGCTGTAATCCTCAGCACTGGGCTCATCCTCCTTTTTGTAGATACCTATGACAATACGTTACATCGTATCATTTTTCATTTTTATGTGTGTTTTTTAGCCTAAAAAGTTTGATCGCTACAGTTTTTCTATGTGATGGACAAAGAGCATCATAAATGCTAAATATATTCAATCAGTCACTTTATTTGATGAGTCAGCTCATGAGTTTTTAGATTTCATCCCTTTATTTTATATCTGAGAGAGATATAACATGAAACCCCCACTCTAAATTGTAGGCAGGGTCAGGACTAGAACACAGGTATCCAGGTTCCAGCTTTTTGCCAGCAGCATCGGGGTGTGGGTAGGAGGTCGAATGGTCTGTGCAGGGAATATCAGTGTGATGAAGAATTTGTACTACTGTTAGGGCCGAGTGCAAAGGTATGGATCCTATCTGAATCTTAATACAGTGTAAAAAAATTTAAAAGATTCCTACAATAGAAAGTAATGCAACATTTTATATTAATAGTGTCCTCCTAAGGAATGAATTCTGTTATTTTCTCTTTATTGCTTCTATAAACCTCCTTTCATGGCAGTTGGTTAATGCCCTTATTTTTAGTCACAGATGATTTCTGTAGTGAACTGCTTAGGATCCAGAAAGGTACAATGTGGATTTAATATCTGTTAATTCCGTTCCTGCTCTCTCTAGGTTTCATTGCCTCAGACATGACCTCAAGACACTCCAGCACCCAGCTGTGGTTGATTACACATTACCATGAGATGGGGTCATTGTACGACTACCTTCAGCTCACGACTCTGGACACAGTCAGCTGCCTTCGGATAGTGCTGTCCATTGCAAGCGGTCTTGCACATTTGCACATAGAGATATTTGGGACCCAAGGGAAGCCAGCCATTGCCCATCGAGATTTAAAGAGCAAAAATATCCTAGTGAAGAAGAATGGACAGTGTTGCATAGCAGATTTGGGTAAATTTTTAAAATTTAAAATTACTACTTTCAACTCTTGTCATATATGCAATGGGAATGTACCGTATCTACAAAGTGCAGTACAGGGTTACAGGATAATGTTTGTCTTTTAACATACTACAAAAAACTTCAAACGTACAGTGCTGAAAGAATACAGTAGTTAACACCTACCACCTGTATATTCCCAGTAACATTTCAGTGCTTTATCAGCTGTCTAGCAATCCATCAGCTCATGTTAATGTTTGATATATTTCAAAGTAACTTGTAAACAAAAGAACCTTTTCTTCTAGTGACTTCAATACCCACATTAGTGTGCCATTAACTAAACTACCTCATTTGTTTGTTACTTTCAAGTAAAACTTACAGATGATAAAATATATAAATCTTAGGCACCTTGTTCGAGTTTGACAAGTGCTCCAAGTTTCAAGTCATTATGGAGACTTGTCCATTATTCTGGAAAGTCACCACAGGCCCATTCAGGTGGTTGGTCCCTGTCCCCCTATCAGAGACAGTAATGTAATGTAATGTAACAATGTAGTAATGTAACAATACTGTTACATTTTGATTTCATAAAGCTCAAATGGAGTAGAGCACAGCTACATATTCCATGTAATGGTTTTGCCTTTAAGAAAAGCTTTCTCAAATTATTCTTTTATAGCCAAGGCAAGTTAATCAATTTGAAAAAGAGGAAGCTAGTTCTCAAACTAGTTACCTCTTTGCCTTGCTGAAATATCACAGTCTTATGATGTTAGGATAAAGTTCATTGTAGCTTTACTCTATAAATAAAATTATTTTCAGGTATAGTGCCACATATAAAACCATACTCACCCTGGGCTCCAAAATAGTGATTGATAATGGCGCTAATAAGAACTAGGTTATGAATGTTAGTCACTTACTTCAGCAGGCTGTTACGAGTTCGCATTCACGGGATTGAAAATTTTTCATCAACTGGTCCTGGTGGAACATGCCTGTAACACCAGTGCTCAAGGCTAGAGGATCTCAGTGTAGAGCTTCACCTGGACAACTTAGTGACTTATTCAGACCCTGTCTTATTAAAAAATAAAATAGGGCTGGAGATGTAGCTCAGTGTGAAGAAAGCCCTGAGTTCAACCTGCAGTAGTACAAAAATAAAATGAAATAAAATAAGTAAAAGGCTTACAATTACTATAATTATTGTTAGGCTGATAAATGTTTAGGCAAAATTAACTTTCATTATATAAAGAATAACATTTATTTTTATTTTTAAACATGGAATTTGACATGCTGGAAAATTTGCTTCCTTTGAATACCTGGATCGTCTTAGTGTTCATGCTGAGAAATTATTTTACAGTGTTTGATAGGTGTAAGACTATAACTCTAAAGCCTTTTACAGGCAACTTAATTGTATTATATACTTTCCTGGCTTATTTTGTGGCTTTTAGAGCCATGGTGATTTGTGCTTGAATTCTGACTTTTGCTATTATTTATACTGTACTTTTTGCACAAGTCAGTTTATCTAGCCAAAGTGCTGACACCACTTATGCTCAGAATGAGAGTCGGAGTCTTACCCACGAGGGACTCCAGTGTTTGATGCTGTGCATTGAACTTCTGCGTTGTTGGAAACTTGTTTAATTATGTGTTCATGTATTACTCATCTAACGGAAAAACAATTAGACCTATCCCACAGGATTGAGATAGGACTCAGAAACCATTATAAACCTGGTGGGTAATAAGGGTTTAAGCAGTAGCTGTTGGAGGTTCTCATGGTCTGGGGAGAATGAGCAGAGGGAGGCAGCTCTTGGCCTTGGTTGTGGGGCACAGTGGGGGTGAGGTTCAGTAATGAGTTCTGTAGCCTTCTGCTTAGAGATGTTGTTGGTGAAAAATCTGTGCTAAGGAGTCATTTTTTTCAAGTGATTAATAAGGTACTGTAGAAAATAGCTTGTATAAGCCCATAACCTGTGTATAATTTTATATCATGCCCAGAACTTAAGGTTACTTAAATAGTGTTTTATTAGTAGTACAGCCTAAAGATCAGTTTTCCATTTTTCTGGAACTTTTTATTATCCAAAATTTCAAGCTGGGCATGGTGGTGCACCTCTGTAACCTCAGCATTGGGAATGCCGAGGTAAGAGGATTGCCATGAGTTTGAGGTCAATCTTGGTTACAGGGTGATTTCAACCTGAACTATACATGGAGACTCTGTCTCAACAAAACAAAAATGAAGAAATGAAAAATTCAAGCATGTGAAAGGACTGAGAGTATTATAACCACTTTTAATCCTCAACGCTTAGGCTCAGAATATGATAAAAGTTTTGCTGTGTTGGGCGGGCTAGAGAGCTCAGCAGTTTAAAGCACCTACTTAGGTAGGCACAGGGGCTGGGGTTTGCTCACCATTGCCATGCCAGCCCTGCCTCTGGGACTCACTGAGGCAGTGACTGAGACTGGGCCTGGTGGCACATGCCTGTAATCCCAGTGCGTGGGAGTCTGAATACAGGAAGTTCACTAGGAGTCTAATCTGTGTAGTGAGACCCTGGAGACCCTATACTAAATACATTTAAAAAGTTTTGCCATGTGACTCTGGTTCTAGAAATAGTGGATGGGTGTATATCATCTGGGAAATTTTCACAGTGTTCTTGGAATCTTGGAGTTGATTACAAAGACTGGGAAAAGAGGAGCCAGTCTGCTCTAATTGAAGTCAGTTGCCAGTTTCTACTAATTATTAAGGGTGAGATAACAGGTGTAGTCTTTCTGGCCTTCTGTGGAATCATCATGCCACGATTCAAAGCCATGGAGTGGGAAGGACGCCTTCTCCACAGATAGTTGGAGGAATTTCCAGAGGATCTTTGGATTTCAAAAATTTACAGGGGCAGTGTCCTTCACTTTGGTACTTTTTATTATCTTGACTGTTACAGGAATCAGTCACAGTTGTTCTGTATATGCACCAGTAAGTAATTCCATCCTCAGGTAAACCATGCATGAGTCTGTATCTCCACTGGCTAGTGAGGGATACCAGGTCTCTGATTGACTGAGGAATTCTGAAATAAGCCATGGCTTAAGTTTTCAGAGCCACTAATGTGAGAGAGGTGCTTTGAGTTGAGATCCAGGGCAGTGCTGTCTGTTCCTAGAAAGGCCCACGGGCTTGCCCAATGCTGTAGCCTGGACCAGCAGCTCTTTGTGAAGTATGCAGCAGTGCCCACCACAGTCTTCTATTTATGTGGTGATAAATTACCTTAAAGTCCACATTTCAAGCTGTTAGAAGTTTGTGTTTGGAGACTAGTGGGAACACTGGATGTTCAGGAACTTAATTTGCTTTGTGTTAAGCTCCTTTGAGGTTCACATTTAGCATGTGGGCCTGTTTTCCTATGGACCTGTGCAACACTGACCTTGTGCTGTTTTGATGCATTATTCTGCCATTTGCCCCACACTTTTTGTCTCTTAGAAGTTTATATGTTAATGTGATTGCTTCATAGTATTTCTGGCATCCTTTTCCTTCTCTCCAAAAGTTACACCACATGTATTCCAGGGATTTAGCGTAAAACAGCAGTTCCTGTGCATAGCGCCAGAGGGAGCTTTCGGCTGGGGTTGGTTTAAACTCCAAGTAGCCTTCTGTGAGAAAGGAAGTGAGCTAACTGCACTGTTCTTTTCTTCCTTTTAGGCCTGGCAGTCATGCATTCCCAGAGTACTAATCAGCTTGATGTGGGGAACAACCCCCGAGTGGGTACCAAGCGCTACATGGCCCCTGAAGTTCTAGATGAAACCATCCAGGTGGATTGTTTTGATTCTTACAAGAGGGTCGATATTTGGGCCTTTGGACTTGTTTTGTGGGAAGTAGCCAGGCGGATGGTGAGCAACGGTAGGTATCTGATGCAGTGCTGTCTTTGTCTACGTTCTCTTAATACTTTTCTTACGGAAAGGGCAAAGGAGAATATAGAAGGCCACGGTGTTTCTTGAACCCTACTCATCAAACTGCAGGCATTTATGTTTGACTCATGGTGAGTAGGTGTAGAGTAATGGCATTATATTTGCAATACAAGAGACAAAATGGTTTTTCAAAACTATTCCTGGGAAAGATTATTCTTTGGTTTTACTTTGGATTGCTCCATATTTTTCTCTTTCTGTGTCCCTGTTTTTCTTGCTTCTCAAGACCTTCCTTTCCTTTTGGCCATTCTCACAAGGTAGATTTACCTGGAGAAGAACGTTCAGGTAATTCTCGGGGAGTTTTGCTTCTTCAGATAACTTCACTTCTTATGACTGAAGAAGTGGCTTCAGTTACCACACTCAGAAGCAGAGTGCCTTCCAATGAGGGAAGTGTGTGCTCAGGAAGCTTTACATAGGTGGTTTATGTTGATGTTTATAAGTAATTTTATGAAATGATGTTGCCTCAACAATTAAGGAAGAATTTTCTTATTTATTTATTTATTTATTTTCTTGGTACAGGGTCTTGCTATGTAGCTCAGACTTACAGTGACTCTCCTGTCTCAGCCTCCCCAGTGCTGGGATTACAGGTGTGCTCTACCATGTCCGGTTTTGGTAGCTGGCACAATACCCCTGGGATTACCGAGCGGCAGGGCATGCGGTACCTGGGATCAAACCCAGATCCTTGCACTTGTCAGGAGGTGCTGAGACTGCTGAGCTATCTCTCCAGCCCTAGTTAAGGAAGAATATATCACTAATTTTTGACCTGTCTCTCCTACACTAAGTTCTTAATCTTGTCTTTTACGTACCTAAATTGACCCTAGATACACAGTTGAACTTTAAATATGTTATAGTCAGAAAGCACTGAGTATTGCTCTTTCAAATTGGGCATGCCTCAGTGGCTTACCAAGTGTTTTTAGCAGGGTCTTTGTGAATGTGGTGAACTTCTTATCTTCACAACGGGAAATCTTACTTCATAGAGCATGTATCTGGAAAGGTCTTAGGAAAACAAAAGAAAATATCATGCATTTAGATTTGTATTTATTTCCAAGTGGTATTTTACATTTACACTCTGTGACCCACAGAGATCCTGGATTTAAGAAATAATGCAAAAAGTTTTTGAAAATCTATTCTCCATCTTACCTTCCACTGATGTTCCATTCTAAGGGTTGAGGTTTGTGGGGTAATCATACTTTTCATGACTAATACAACCAGAAACTAGGAGGCTCTGGGAGATAAGTAAGATTGGATAATTTAATATAATTTTATGTACAGAAATTAAAATCAGCATGCCTTCATGGTAGCTTGCTGTTGTAAGAGCAGAGTGTGTCTGCTGTGAACAAACCCTCTGAAGGCATTTAAGCATTTTCAGATTAAGCATATAGGGATTATAACTTGACAATTCTTTGAAGATTCTTTTTAGTTGTTAAATAGAGCCACAAACATTTTCTTGGTAATTGTTTCTCAATCCTTGGGAGCCACTGCCTTGCAGTTTGTGCCATTGGAGTGCCTTGGGAATTATTTACGACAGATTGTTTTGCTGACTTAGAAAAGTTCTGAACTTTGCCTGAAATTGCGCATGAACTTCGTTTCCTCACCCACTCCCCAGTTATCCTGGAGCACCTTGGGGGGGAGTGGGGGAGGGGTCTGACTCGGATGAGTTTACCTTAGCAGAGACTTTAGAGCAGGCTGGTGTCAGAATAAACCCTGTGACGGGGAACTTCCCAGATGAAGAGGAAGCTGGCAGCCCACGGCCGCGCAGTAGCACTTCCAGCTGTGGGTGTGACGGCACACAGCCAAGCAGGCATGCTTGGCAGAGTCTTGGGATTCAAGCTTTGTAAGCCTCATGTTGTAAACCCGCTCTCCGTGTCACAGGCATAGACTCAAATGGCTTTTAAAGATCAGCTGTGATTAACAGTAGTCAGTTTAAAGTCAGAGTCATCCATTTAAAATTTAGCTCAACACATGTTAGCGTGCTTGTCAGATCGTGTGTTTAACATTATTTTTAGAAAAGAAATCATGGGTGGCAGAGGAGGGGAGAGTGTTTCTGTTGTTTTTAGATTTATTGATCTCTCTTTTGCATCATCATTTAGACTGTGAGCTGTTTCCTAAAGTTTTGTGGGTACAGCTTCTGTTCTGTGATGTGGTTGGACTCAGGGAGAGACAAGGGTGTCTTGTTTCTCATTTTGAACTGGTTGTTGTCCTTGGCAGTGAGTGGTAGTGGTATGATGTTTCCCTTCCTCTTTCTCTGATCCTTTGCTTCTGTGAGCATGCACAGCAGTGCGTACACGTGCACACGGGCCACAGATCAGCTTCTCAGAACTTGGATGTGTGTGCCATGTTTCTTGAAATGACTTGGTTAATATTGACATTTCAGCTATCACTCCCACACAAACAGAAAAATGAACAGAAAGGAAAAAGCGAGAGTGATTTCGTCCTCAAATTCCAGGCTTCGTGTTTCCTTTCTCTTCTCTGTGCACCCATTTTAAAAACTCATTTGTAATCATATAGATAGAATTTTGTATCATCGGTTGCACTTGTTTGTGAATTTTATATTCTTAAGTGATCTCTGTTCTTATTTTAAATGGTCACATGATATTTTATTAGTGTAACCATTTACATATTGTTAAATATCCTGTGGTCTTCATCTGGGGCCCATGGTAGACATTTTATGCATATAATTTTCCATCCTGGGAAGTGATTCCTGTTCTGAACGAAAGCAGGCTGTGGATGTTTTGATGACCTGACCCCCACAACCACATCACTGCCCATCAGAGTTGTTCTGATCCGCACGCAGACTCTCTCGCCCCAGGGTACGATATATCTATTTCACTTTCTCACGAGCTTTAGGAACCATCATGAAAAGAGTATATATTTTTGAAATTCTTGTATGTAAAGTGTGCCTCATTTAAGAAGGCTGTTATAATTATGCATCCTTTGAGTTCCTGCGTCCATTATAAAAATTGATGACTGGATAATTCTCTTGGAGCAACATCATCCTCCAGTGAACTATGAGCACAGAAATTTGTTGTGTTTTTATTGGAATTTTACATTTATTTTTTTTGCTAATAATAAGCCTCATTGAGTGCAGCAAACGTGTTTCTGTACAGGAAATGAGAGTTAAGTTCATTTCACATTGAAAATTTCTCAGTAGTGTCTTTTGGAGTTTACCTCTGATGTTACCTCTGATTCTGGAACTGGTAGGGAAGAGGATGGCTTTCTCACCTTCCCTGTGTGGATTTCTGTGTGAATTTAAGGTAGGCGTCTGCTTGGGTCTCTAGTACTGAAGCTGGGTCTTGCAACAGAGTCAACTATAGCACTTACTAAGATACCCAGGGCTGGGCCTTACCCCCAGATTTCTAATGTAGTAGTTCTAGGGTCGAAAAATGGGATGCTGGGTTCCAAATAGGGAGCTCCTGTGAGGGCAGCGGAGCAGGTGGTGCGGGTGTGGAAGGCAGTGCAGAGCTGCTTCTCTGCTTGTGTGGGGGATGCACAGCTCCCTGGGAAGCACTGTCTTCTGTCGCTGTAGTAGCTCAGGGCCACCGCCCTGAGCGTGGAGGCCTGCAGGAAGGTGCCCTTGAGAGCCGGGCTGTGCTTTTCCTGGGCCTGCTGCAGAATAAAAGGGAGTCAGTGACGTTGCAGGCCCTGAGGTTCTTCTGTCTGATCCTGTCATGGAGATCATTGTCATCACAGAATAGCATAATAATATCTGCTCGAAGGGGTTTTGGCAGCTAAGGGAGATCATGAAAGTGTAGCACCTAGTGCTTGGCTGGAGCACAGCGACAGCGTGGCCACTCTCTGTTTTGATCCTTTCCACTGGAGAGGGAGCATTTCCAGGAGGTTGTGGACCTTGCTGACCCTTTCCCACCTGTCGGTGCTGTCATGTGGCCCCAGGCCTACATTTGTTCCCCTTTTCTCTGCCCATAAGAGGGCTTTGTGGAAAGCCTCTGTTTCACTGGTTTTGATTATTTCATGATGAAATCCAGTGTTTAGATGTGTCAAAAAGTATTCATATCTCACAGGAAAGTCCTCGCTGGCCATGCTGTGTGACTTCTGGGATAGAGACTAGGAAACAGTTGTTAGAATACGCCTGCCTATGTTTGGCACACATACTATAGTTTGGAAAAACCTCTTCTAATTAATCCTTGAGCTTGCCAGGAAACCACACGTGCTCCTGTTCTAAGCGCCGTGCACTTGTGTACGAAACCATGACAACTCTGACTTCTTCAGAAGCTTCACTTCTAACTTGTCTCTTGGTTCTGATTCACCGCTTTAGTATGGCTGGAACACGCAGATGAACTGTAGGAACAAGTTTTCAGATTGATTCATTTAGAGGGTTTTGTTCATTTTAAAAAAATCTTCTGGTAAATATTTGGACACAGTGATAGGGAGGTTAGGTAGGAGAAAGGATTTTTGCCCCCACAATTTTCTGCCATTTCAAACCACTGATTTAGAAATCCAGAACAAAAGGCAGTATCAGCTGACCTCGTGGCAAAATAACCTGATGTTCCTTACTGCCCAGTAGTGTATTTCCTGAATCACCTCTAAGAACAGTCTTCTAACACAAATACTGGTGCTTAAACCACATAACAGCCCTGCTAGTCGATGAATGATGCCCTTTATCTCAAGAGGTCCTTATAGCTACATAATATTTGGAACCCTTGTGCTGATTCTGTCTCTAGTTTTGGGAGTGTGCAAGGTCTGACTTGTGGAATATTCAGGTAGCTCTAGTAGGCTTTTTTTTTTAATTTTATTTTTTTTTATAAGTTTTTTTTTTTTGGCTTGGAATGCCAAAAAGGCATTGCCCTCAGGGGTGGTTTGGCTGGCTGGAGTGTTGTGGGGATCGAACTACAGCAACCTGAGGCTGACAGCTTTGTGGAAGCAGCCACTTAAACAACTGAGCTAAGGCCAGGGCCCCCCCTCCTTTTTTTAAATTTT